ACTGCCAGGGGCCCATGTTTCTGCTGGGAAACGTGTTCTGAGGACAGGGAACAGGAGGGCCAAAGCTCAGAAGTGCCCCAAAGCGTGTTAGGAACTGAGCAGCACGAGGTGCAGAGTGGGTTGGGGCCTCAGTTTTGCTTTGGCAAATGTCCCAACAGGGCTCTAGAGGACTATGAAGGTCTGCCTCAGGTGGTCAGGATGCAGGGAGGTAGAGGGGCCTCTCCAGCTGCTGAGGGTCAGAGATGGAGGGGCATCAAAGGTGCAGAGGGGGCAGTGATAGCTTGTTGGTCTGGGACAAAGATGTTGGGCCAGATGGTCCCCATCTGGGCTGCACAGTGCGGACCTAGACAGTCCTAGATTGGGACAGAGCCCACCAGTCAAGGTGTGTGCTTCAAAGCTCTGCGGCCTGAACTATCACAGTCAGCACCGCGTGGCCTCCAAAGAGGGGTTGGGTCCCCATGCAGCTGTGCACCTGCCCCACAGCAGAGTCTGGGTTTGGGGCCCGTTTCCAAGCAGCTTCCAAGAAATTGTCCTCTCCTTGCTTTGGATCTGTGGGTTGCTGACTGTTCACACAGCCACTTTGAGCTGGAAGTCGGCACATGAGGAGGCCAAGGGTCAGGGAGGTCCACTGTGTGCAGATGAGTCACTGCTGGAGCAGGTTGGAGCTGGTCTGAGGCAGCCATGGCTTTCCTCCACCTGCCAGGACCCTGATCTCTGGCATCTGCTCTTCTCTGTGGGGTAGAGGTTGAGATGGGAAAGTCAGGATTCCTGGGACCCTGACCTCGCCAGGTGTGTTTGGCCCATTCCCAGCCCTCGGCCCCCTGCAAATTGTGTTTTAGTTATCCCATTACTGCAGGAGGAAAGCACTGATTGCTTTCTAGCATCAGATTCATTCCTCCTGGCCTTTGAGAGCAGCAGGGACCCAGCAAGGCCTGGAACCTGCCCCAGTGGAGGAGGGAGTCTGAGGTGGAGAGGGGGCTGCTACCCCTCGTGCCACTCTTCTGAGACCTCCTCTGGCCAGGGACAGGCTTGGCAGCCGTGCTGCACATGGAGACACCTCACTGGACCTTAGCCTGTCCCCCGAGTCCTGTCCTGCCCCCAGCTCTGGAGAACAGGACTCAGCCCAGCCAATACCCCTCTTCTCCTCTCCCCTCCCCTCCCAGCTCCTGGCCCTGGGCAGGGAGGCCAGGGCTGGGAGGGAATTCCGGCCTGGCTTTGGCTGCCATCACATAGTGGCAGAGCAGGGCACTCTACCCTTCAGGTCGGGGCCAAGCCAGGCAGCCCCCTGCCTCCGGGCAGCTAGGGCGCGTGCCGGCCTTGGCACACAGCCTGGATGGCCCAGACATCCTCCTCTGTGCCCCCGCCTGCCCTCTGCCCAGAGAATGGGCCCTTTGTTGGCTCTGGGCTGGATGGACAGCTGACCTGGCCCGGCCGTCAGCTGCCTGCCTGCTACAGCAGTTGGCCAGGGCCTCGGTGGTGATAGAAATGGGTAGTGGCCTGGCCAGCCTGGGGTTAGACCCCGCCCCCCATCAGGGCTCCCTCCTCAGGCTCTGAGGAGTGTCCTGGTGTGCAGGCTGTATCCGCTCCCCAGCCTTACGTCTGTGTAGTGGTGGGTGCTCTGTCATGGGGATGGTCAGGGTCTGTTTTGGCCTCTCTCCCATCTGCTCAGAATCCAGGGTGGACTGCCAGGGTGCAATGGGACAGGAGACCCAAGGACTGAAAGGCTGAGTGGAGGTGCCTTGCCCTCTGAGCTGGGATGGATGGGTACTCAGGGCTATGCACAGCCTGCAGTGGTATCCACGAGGCTGGGTGGCTCCACCGCACTCCCTGGATAAGGGGGGGTCTTCCTCCAAGGGAGAGGAGAGGCGCCCCAGTAGAGGAGGTGGCAGAGCAGGGCGCTCTACCCTCCCAGAGGGTTTGGTGGAAGGTCCTGCTGGTCTTTGAGGGATATTTGTAGAGCAAGGTGACAGCTGGAGGTGGGAAGGACATGGGATACCCTGGCCTGGCCCTGGCCTCCCATTTGCTCTGTTGGCAGCCCAGCTGGTATAGCAAGGGGGCTGCTGGCCCAGCTGCCTTCCAGGTGGGTGGCCCTTCTGCGGACAGCTGTGGGCATCGGCATGTGGGCCCTGCTGTCCTGCCAGCCACCTTGGCCCTGTGCCCGACCTACTGTCTATGCCTCTAGGTTCCTGCACTCCTAGAGTGCCTTCCTGCTGCGGTGTGCTGGCTCTCTCCCGCCTTGGGGACAGGTTCTGTGCTCTCAGGTACAGCCATAGATCCAGGGCTCTGGGTTCCTCTAACAGGTCTTTATGAACCTCAGTTTACTTCCTGTTTAGGTGGCCTGATGAAACATCGTGTTGTGATAGCCCTCCAGCCTGTAAGCTATGGCTGAGACACAGTGAACGTATTCTGACTGCTGCCCCCCGTTACACGGGTGTGCATACGGGGACCCCATCACATAAGTATATCCCAGAACACCATCATACACGTATGCATACAGGGACTCCATCACACATGTATGGACACAGGGACCCCATCTCATACATGTGCACATAGGGACCTTGTCATGTGTACACAGAGACATCATCACACAAATGCATCCAGAAGCCCCATCGGGTGTGCACAGCTTCTGCTGAGCCTGGACTGTGGCTTCTTATCACACAACATTCAGCCATCACCATGTCACCACCTTGGCCTGATGGCTACCTTTCCAACACCCTGCTCACTCTGCCTCAGAGATGTGGTCGTCATGTGGCCTCTCACTGACGTAGATCTCTTCTGGGCCCTTCTCCTCAAGACCTGCTTGTGCATGTAAAGGGTAAGGGTGGCTCGTTGCTGGGCAGGTGGGTGGACAGCTGGCCACACGTGCCCCCAGATGCAGCTGTCAGTGCCACCTGTCCTGGTTGTCTGAGTCAGCAGACTGAGGCCAAAGAGGCAAGGCTTTTGGAGCCTGTGACTGGCCTGCCTGTCCTGCTTTGCCTGGACTAGGAGAGGCCTGCCGCTCTTCTTGGCCTCCACTCAGCATGATTTGGAGCTTGTGTGCCCAGCCTGTGGTGGGGAGGGATGGCAGGCTGGGCAGGGCTGGGTTCAGGTCTCCAATATCCCCTGGCCACTGGTGCTCAGGATGGAGGGAGGCTGATACTGCTGTAGTCTGTCTGGGCCTTGTCCAGAGGCTTCAAGATCACCCCCTTTGAACTGAGCAGGGTCCACTCGGGTCAAGCTGGGGGAGAAGGCCAGGATTGGGGTGGCCGGAGAGGGGACCCTGGACCTGGTGCAGGCTGGGGTGGGGTCTGCCTGGGTTGTAGGCTGGGGACCGCCTGGGTTGTAGGCTGGGGATTGGAGCTCTGGGTCTCCTGCCCCACCCCTTGCCAGACTGTGTCTTGCCTCCTGTTCCAGGCACCCATCTCAGGCCGGCCTTCCCCAATCTCAGAATATCTGCATTGGGCGGGGAGGGGGTCATTCCCATTTCACACATAGGGAAACTGAGACAGGGAGTACTTCAGCACCACACACGGGTCCTGAAGCTGGTATGTATCTGAGCCAGGTTTGGACCCAGGCAGTGAGAGTTTAGTTCAGTTTCTGGCCTGACTGGTTAGAGCCAAACTAGCTTCTGTGAGTAGTGCCTGCCTGGGCCACTGACCCAGGTAGCAGTCAGCACCCTAGTCTTCCCTTGTGGTCATTTGGAACAAGCCTCCCTCCCCTCTGGCCACAGGGCAGGCAGGCCTGGGCAGGAATGGCTGGGTGGCTGGGGTCAGGTTTGGGTGTATCCCAGCCCCAATGTGGGGTGCTGGGCTTCTGTGCCCCCCCACCCCCCCACACACACACTTCTCTCCCTGTGTGCCTCCTTCCAGAGGGCATGGGCCAAAGTTTGGTCAACTGTGGGCTCAGCCCCTGCAAACCAGTGTCCCAGCTGGGTCCAACCCAGCACCCCTCCCCTCCCCAGCTCTTTCCAGTCTGGTTTAACTTAAGCCTGCTTGGTGGGGAGGCAGCTGAGCGGATGTGGGGGTGGCCTGCTCCCAGGAATGCGGCTCTCCCCCTCTTCCACAGCCAGCAGCCTCTTGGCTCATACACACAGCGCCCCACCCTGGCTGGCTCCTCGCCCAGCCCCACAGAGCTGGCCTGAGCTGGGGCGGGACTTTCTCCTGGCCCTGCCACCCCTGGGCCGGCCTTGTCCAGTTACTGTGGGGCACAAAGAGGGTCCCTGTGCCAAGCCCTGGTCCAGGCCCCTGCCTCAAGGTGGAGGTGGAGAGGGGCCAACCAATGGGTTGAAGGCCAGAGGCCGGTGCTGGACAGACTGGTTGTATAGTGGGCAGGAGCAAGCCACAGGCCCTGCTGCCTAGCTGGGCAGACGTGCCCTGTGAGTCCCATCTCCAGAAAGCCCCCTGGGTCTCTCTGTTAATTAAATACATTTGTTTGGTAAAAGCAGCTAAAAATACTTGCGGCACCAAAGCTGCAGAGACGAGCTGGCTAATTAACGCCCAGTTTGTTTGAGATCTGGAATACATTTCCACATGGATGAGCCTCCTGCCCTCCTGCTGCCTTCTTGCTGGGGTGTCCCTACCCCCCTACCTGGGAGGTACCTCCTGGTCTTGTTCTGTGGCTGTACTGGGCTCCACCTTCCCTGAAGGCCCCAGGCCTCCACCCATCCCTGCCTCAAACCTGCTTCCTCCTCAAACCCAGCCTGATCCCTGGTGCCCACAAGGCTCCACAACCTGTACCTGGGTGTGGCAGTGCAGCCCAGTGGTGGGTGCCTTGTTCCTGTGTCTATTGACTGATCGGGTGGCTGAAGCCATGTCCCACCTGTCTGCACCCTGAGTGTCCTGTGCAGGCTCCTGTCTCAGGGCTGTGCTGGGTGCAGGGTGTGAGCAAGGCTGACCTTGGTGCTCTTTCTACCTAGCCCTGTTCTTGCAGGGCTGTGGGAGGTGACTGGGCGGGTGGATGCTTGACCTCAGGTGGAGCAGGGCTGTGGCAGAGGTACCCATAAGGGTCCTTTGCTGTCACAGATCCTGGTGGACCTTGCAAACCCTGGTGGCCGACCAGCCCTGGCATATGAGAGTGTGGTGGCCCAGGAGGGCAGCCCCATCCTGCGTGATCTCGTCCTCAGCCCCAATCGCCAGTACCTGTACGCCATGACCGAGAAGCAGGTAGGTGCAGCATGGCCACAGAGCAGCAGGCTAGCTCCAGGGAGACTTGAGGGTGGGTCACTGGAAAGCTGGGCTGGAGCCTGTCTGTGAGCGCAGAGACCACTTCTTTCCCCAGGGGCTTTCCCATTGGCAGGTGGACCTGATTGGTCCAGCAGCAGACATGGGGTAGGCTTGCCCAGGGAGCGGGCTTGGGTGCAAGAGGCTCCACGCCACTAATGCTACCTCCAGACTCTTGGGTTGGGTTAGGAATCCCTGCCTTCCCTGTGTGACTTCACAACCACAAAAGCAAAAGCTTGGATAAGAGGAGCATCAGACAGGTGACATGGAGGGCTAGAGCTGGTGTCTGGAACCCTTAAATCCTTGAGCCTGTATCCTGCCCAGCTCTGGTCATACTGTCCAGTAGGGATGTGGTCTTTGTGGGGCCTGAGGCCTGGCTCTGTTCTGCAGAGCTCTAGGCTTTCATCCCTGGAGTTCTCTGCTTAGAGCCTGCCTCTGCTTTTCTGCACAAATTGGTGGCCCCTGGCACATGAAGGGGACCAGGCAGCAGCGTGGGTTAGGCCAGCCTCTGTCTTTGCTGGCTTTGACTTTTCCTCTCACCCCTCCTGATTGTGATGGGTTCTTCTGCCCCTGATACCTCAGGGCTAGAACTCCCAGGCGCTGGACTGCTGGGCTGAGCAGGTGAGGTGAGGGAGACCCAGAGCCTACCTGCCCCCCAGCACCACCACTTCCACCACCGAGTAGGATCAGAGCCATTCTCAGTTTTTTGCATTGGGGCCCCCAAATCCACTAATCCCTCAGGAAGCCAGAAACAGTAAGGAGCCCAGACAGGCAGGACATTCAGTGTAGCCAAAGCCCTAGGTTCTTCACTGGATGCTCAACCTGGACTCTACCCAATTGCTGCTGCTAGGGGCTGACCTGTTGGACCTGCCTGGCCAAGGCAGGGTCATTAGGATTGGCCATTGAATATGCTGAGCCCCTTTGAGGACCTGAGCCAGGGGCTCCTCGTGTGCAGAATGCAGGGAGAGGCTGGAATGGACTGGACAGATTGGCAGTCCTGATGCCGTGCCTTTCCCCAGGTGACCCGGGTACCTGTGGAGAGCTGTGTGCAGTATGCATCATGCGAGCTGTGCCTGGGGTCTCGGGACCCCCACTGCGGCTGGTGTGTTCTGCATAGTGTGTAAGTTGGGTGACCTGGGTGGGGTGGGGGTCCTGTCACCTGGCCTGATGGTCCCCAACCTGGGAGGGCCATGGGCAGCCTGCTACATGCCTCAGACAGTCATCGCTGAGCCCCAAACCGCCCTGGGTCTTTTTCTACCAGCTGACCAGGGTCAGGAGCGTCACTGGGTAGGGATGAGGATGGCCCTGTCCTCAGCCCAAGGCCCATCCACAGTGGGCTGGTGGCCGGGCCCCTGGCCTCCACTGCCCAGCTTCATCACACTTTGCCCGCAGCTGCTCAAGGCAGGATGCCTGCGATCGAGCAGACGAGCCCCAGCGCTTTGCCTCAGACCTCCTGCAGTGTGTGCAGCTGACCGTGCAGCCACGCAATGTGTCCGTCACAATGTCCCAGGTGCCGGTGAGTGTGGCTACCGGGACAGGGTGGGTTAGGGAAAGCCAGGGAAGCCATGGGCACCACTCACCCAGGCTCGCGCGGTCTAGCTCGTGCTGCAGGCCTGGAATGTGCCCGACCTCTCAGCTGGTGTCAACTGCTCCTTCGAGGACTTCACCGAGTCTGAGAGCATCCTGGAAGATGGCCGCATCCACTGCCGCTCACCCTCTGCCCGGGAGGTGGCACCCATCACTCGGGGCCAGGGTGAGTGACAGGAGGTGACAGGCACTGAGGGACAGTGGTGGGTGTCACATGCTGAGCCCGGAGGGTGGCAGCAGCAATGCAGGCAGGGGCAAAGGTGTGGGCTGAAGAACTGGAGGGGGAAGCACTTTGCCCCGAGTGTGGGGATTTGGTGCCCAGGGCCTCGTGTCTGTGCCCCACACACTTTTCCTCCGTAGCCCTGTGCACCAGCCATAATCCTTGTGGGGGGGCTGGGTCATTCTGCTGCCTCTTGCTTTCCAGCCTAGGAAGGGGCAGGAGTCCTGGGTCCAGCCGGAGACCTCGGCTACCTGGGGGCTGAGGAGGGCTCCACAGTCCCCTGTGACCCTGGCGATACTCCCCATGCTACTCTTGTAGGAGACCAGCGGGTGGTGAAGCTGTACCTGAAGTCCAAGGAGACGGGGAAGAAGTTCGCGTCTGTGGACTTTGTGTTCTACAACTGCACTGTTCACCAGTCGTGAGTGTCCGGGGACCTGCCCACCGCCGTCCATTCCCTGTGTTCTCCCTGCACACATCTTCTGCAGGCTTTCCTCACACAGTTCATGTTCAGGAGGGATAAGGGCCACCAGATTGCAGCAGGAGGAGCCAGCAGGGCAGCCATGAGGGAGACACACTGGTGGGAGGCTGTGGCCAGTGGAACCCATGAAGAGCCAGCCCTGCCCGGCCCACACCACTTGGGTGTGGGGAACTCTAGGCAGCTTTGGAGCTGGGCAGGGGAGTGACATGCAGTGATTGACATATGGAAAGTCTCACTAGCTCCCAAGGGTGGCCAGTGGCCTATGAGCACCACAGTGGCCCCCAGGAGCTCAGGGAGGGGACAGTGCTGCTGGGCCCAGACATAGCCTCTCACCATCTGCTGTCTCTGGGTGTGGGTGTTGGCTGCTGGATCACAGGATGTCCAGGTCTCTGGCTCCTGCTGGCCCTCTGAGACTCCTAGCTGGACACAAAGAGCAGGGTAGTGTCAGCTCAGCCCTCTCTGCCCATCTTGGCTGTGAGCACCCCAGCCCTGAGCCAGGGGTACCGTGAAGAGGGGGCCTCAGCTATGTGCACAGCCTGGAGTGCCCAGAGTGTGGACAGAGGCTTGCGAAGAGGCTCCTGACAGGTGGCAGTTTGCCTCAGAAATGGGAGTTTATTGACTGCTTGCCAGGCAGTGTTCTTAGTTCCCCACGCTCATTTTCTTCTCCTGGTCGGGGTGGGGCAGGAGACTGCTCTGAATTCTGGAAGCTGCAAGCCTGGTGGGAGGCTGTGTAGACAGAGCTCCTGCAATGGCTGCTCCCTTGCAAGCCCCAGGACACGTTAGGGTAAAACAAACCAGTTCTTGTCTAGGCGTGCCTGGTTCTGGCTGGGGAGGCAGATGTGGACCATGGCTTTGATCAGTTCTTTGGGATCCCCTTTGCCACCTGAACTTAAATCTGAGTTTGTTAAGACAAGAAAGTGTGAAACACAGCTCCTCAGTTGCATTAACCCCTTTCCCACGCCAATGGTCACCAGCAGCTGATAGTCATCTTGGTGGCCAGCACTGGGTTGGACTAGCAGGGTTATCCAGGAAGCATGGATCCGGGGGAGGGGGCTGAGAGGAGAGCAGGGAGACCAGCTCTCAGAGGCAAGCCCTCTCTAGGAAGCAGGGGGGTTGGAAACACTTCCTTCCCAGCCAGAGCAGCCAGTGCAAAGGCCCTGAGGTGGGTCTTTGAGGAGCAGGAGGGCGCTATGTGCTTACAAGATACCGTGTGCTCATAGGAGGAGGCACCAGCTGAGTCCCCAACCCTCACCTTCCCCTCTCCCATTACAGCTGCCTAGCGTGTGTCAATGGCTCCTTCCCCTGCCACTGGTGCAAATACCGCCACGTGTGCACGAATAATGCTGCTGACTGCGCCTTTCTGGAGGGCCGCGTCAATGTGTCTGAGGTGAGGCCAGTGAGGGTGGGCTGGGGCTTAAGAGGTGGGGGCAACCCTGCCTAGGCATCAACGAGTACTGGCCTAGTAGCACCCTTGGGTAGCCAGCTGGGATATCAGCCACATGCCATAAAGGGTGACTAGGTAGGTCAGCCTGTGATGACACTGGACTCCAGGATGCAGGGTGTGGGGTGGGGTGGCCTTCTAGATGTCTTGGCCCAAGGCCAGGACAGGGATGTTTGCTGTGGGTCCTTGGGTATCCTTGATAGCCCTCAGCAGATGAGGGAGGCCTCCATAATTCCCTACCCCTGGAACTCTGCTTGTCAACACATGTGGGTGATGCTCCTGGGCACAGTGAGGAGGGACGGTTCTAGACCCCAGAGTCGGTGCAGGGGGCTGGGGAAGCCTGGCTTTAGTGGGTGCATGGCCAGTGCTGAGTCCTCCAAGGCCAGAGGGAAGTGGTTGGATTAACTGGCGCAGTGCTGGTGGGCTCCGGAGTCTGCTCAAGTGCTGCCTGGTAATTACTAGTAATTAGCTAGTAATTATTTTGGAGCCCAGGCAAAGCGAACTGTGTTTATGAGCAGCAGGCTGCTACTCCCAGAACCCAGGCTGTCAGAGCCAGGATGGGGCCAACCCTGGGGCTTGCCGGACACCACGGGGATGGGAGGCTGAGGGCAGGCCTGGGCAGGGCTCCTTGGGCTTAGCTTGCAGGTGTGGAACTTGGACTTGCAGCCAGGGCCTTTTCCTCTGTGGAAGGGTCAGTGGGTTCAGGCCTGTGCCGTGCCATGGGTCCTTTCCTCCTCTGGGTGCTCTCCTTACCAAGGTGGTGATGGTACTACCGTCACCAGCAGTGTACTTGACACTGGGCTTTTCTGCTCTCCCTGGCATGATACCACATACCTGGACAAGGTGGCAGCACAGGATAGGGCCAGGCCAGACAGGACCATGGGCCTTGTGGTGATGGGCCCTCTGCCAGTGGGTGGCATGGGAGCTAGGGACACGCTGGGACTTCCCCGGAAGCTGGGCCTAGGCCTGTGGGGCTGGTGGAAGTGGTGGACACTTCGCAGCAGGAACTGGGGCTGGACTTGAGGGCAGCACACATGTGGCTCCTGCTGCAGCACATCTGGGCTTGTGTGGAGTCTGGAAGGCCAGAGAGCCCAGGGGAGGCTGTGGGCAGGTGAGTGGTTCTAGAGGCTGAGGCAGCCCAGTCCTCTCTGGTGTCACTCTACCCCATGTCCCATCCAGGTCACCAGCTCCAGGGCAGCTTCAGTAAGAACAAGCCCTCTTCCGGAGTTAGTGACCTGGGATCCTCAAGGAGGACACATGGTGTAGGGGTGAAGAGGTGGAGCAGGAGGTGTAAACCCTCTTCAAGGCTGTCTGCACAGGACTAGGGGTCAAGGAAGGTTGTTTGGGGGATGGATTCATTCCACAGATAACTGTCTTAGCTATAGTCTGGGCTTTTATGCAGATGTTTGTAAGGAATATTGTGTGGCCACAGGTTTAGCAGATGGAGTTGTTCGGAAAGCTGGGGCGAATGAAGTCAGGCAGCAGTCCCCCTCCCCACTGCTGGTTCTGTGGGTCGTCATGTAGGAGCAGGCTGTGTCCTGTGGCTTCAGCCCAAGGTCTTCTCCAACTTGGAGCCCAGCTCCCGTGGTGAGAAGGGTGTCATGAGGCAGTGGCACCGGGTGGCAGGGCCTAGAAGGGTTCTCACGGAACCCAGTGCTCCTGAGAGGATGTGTTTTCTCTTAGAAACACTGTTTTCTGGTCTTTCTGCAGACAAGGGAGGCATGGCTGACATATTCTCAGGAGACTGGTCCCTTCCCCCAGGCTCTGGGGCCCAGGCTCTGGCCCATCTCACCTGCCAGGCCCTGGGACAGTCCAGAGTTCCCAGCAGTGAAATACAGGATTCTTGGAGTCTGTGGTTATGGTTCCTCCACACCATGACCTCCCGCCATTGAGGGAAAGCTTCATAAACCCAGGATGCATAGAATTCAGTGCTCTTAAGATCACTCACATTGACCGATTCCTTACTCACAGTAGGTCTGAGTTTCTGTAACTTGATACCACAGGAAGAAGGTTATGTGACTGCCACAGAGTTGCCGTTGTGCACATTAACACTGCTCACCAAAAACTTCATCTTACTTCATGTTCTTTATTTCAAATATTTCATTCTTTCCATAACACAGCCCAACTTCTGCGAAAGTCATGCCACCCGTCACCAGCTCTGCAGTGTTCACTGTATCACTGAAATTGAGCACACCACATGCTCTCTGAGGCTTGGGAGGACTACCATACTTTTTACCTGGCTTTTTGGGCACTGTTTGCTTTCTGGGAGGAATATTTTTACAAATCAAGGAAACACTGCATCAGTCACAGGATTTAAACGAGTGATAATGTGGGACTTACTGAGAGCTTCTCCACAGGAATGAGCTATGAAACGTGTGTGGGAACTTCAAATTTTTGTTTTTGAAATTTCTTTGAATTTTTAAAATATTTTTAATTTTTTTGACCAAGCTTGGTCAAAATTGTGTGTACTAAGTCTACAAATAAGGCTTCCTATAGACAGGCAGCCTGTGAATTGTGAGTTCCCTGGCCTGAGTCATAAGACCCCATCCCCCAGCCTTCCCCAAGGGCCTGCTGGAGCAGTCACTGGACCCGCCCCCACTCAGAGCAGGGCCTGCAATGCAGGTGGCCAGTGGGGTCTGAGCACAATTCAGACTCACAGTGTGCCCAGTGTGTCCCCACCCATCCTGCCTGTGGAATTGGGAGGCACCTGCTGGGTCTGGTGAGATGAGGAGGTGGGGTGGCACCAGGGAGGCCCAGACAGGATGGCCACTCAGAGTGTGGTGTCCAGCTTGGTGGCTGGGTGGGTGGGAAGAAAGGCGGGTGGTAAGAGCAGCCTAGGGGTGGTAGGATGAGCAGTAGGAGCTGGCTATACTGACCAGCCTCATCTACTGTCCACCTGCTGTACTCACACACACCATGAGTATCACTTAGGGGCAGGACTGGGCCCTGTCAGGACTCACACTGGGTGAGCCTGCCCTGTGTATCCAGCCAGCAGTAAGAGGTCTGGATGCACAGGTCTTGCCATGTCCTCTTCTGTCTGACTGCAGGCTGGGCCACTGGACTCCTTTGGTATTTCCTGGCTGGTGTGGTAGTGGGAACCCAGTGTGGTCTCAGGTGGCTCTAGGGAGCTGGGTGGCACGCCTGAGCTTGGACCCGAGGTGTCTGGGCCCAGGCTAGGCCTCAAGATGTGAGACTCCAGCTTGAGTCTTTGGGTGCAACTGCTGGACGGCCTTCAAATGGCAAGGAAAGGGCTGGTGTCATGTGCATGCCAGTATCTCCTCACCAGGGCTGCAGCCTGAACACAGTTGGAGGGCAGCCGCTGAGGTGGGGCCAGTGGACACCGGGCATCCCTGCGGTTAGTGGTCAGCTCACCCACTCCTGCAGTATCCCGGACCCCGCCATCCTGGAATACTGTAAGGCCTGGGGATTCCCGCCTGTTTTCAGCATCTCTATTTAAAGCCCGCCCGTGCTCCCCTGGGCCGGCTCCTCCTGCTGCCGCCAGTGTGCTGCAAGGAAGCCATGTGTTGCATCAGTCACTGTTGCCGAACGCTGGCCCTGGGGCCCTGGCTGTTTTTCTGTGGGGCTCCTGCTATTTTTACATGCTCCCTGGGCCCCCAGCTGAGAGCCTATAGCCCCAGTGCCCCACTCTTGGCTCCTTCTGCCTCAAGGGCCTGTGCAGCTGCAGACCAGATGGGGCCCTGCAGCATGGTGGCATAGGACAGGGCCAAGGTGAACAGGCTGGCCTTGGTGTGCAGCTTCAGCCTGGGGGGAACAGACCCTGAGAGCGGTCATCCCTGTGCTCCCCAGAGGCCAGGTGGTCAGCACTGCACTTGGGCTCCATGCAGAGGCTGCATTCTGAAACACAGTGGTGCTTGCCCTTCACCGGCCCCGGGCTCATCAAAGCCTTGTTGCCCCCAGGACTGTCCACAGATCCTGCCCTCCACGCAGATCTATGTGCCAGCGGGTGTGGTGAAGCCTATCACCTTGGCTGCTCGGAACCTGCCCCAGCCACAGTCGGGCCAGCGTGGGTACGAGTGCCTCTTCCACATCCCAGGCAGCCCGGCCCGGGTTACTGCTCTGCGCTTCAACAGCTCCAGCCTGCAGTGCCAGAACTCCTCGGTGAGGTGGAAGGGAATGGGGGGGCGGGCACCTCCCTCACAGCCTAGGCCTGTGCTGTTCATATGCTTAAGTGCACCTCTTGGACAAGCTACTGCTGTGCCCTCAGGTGTGCCTGGGTCTTGCATGTGTGTGGGGCCGTGTCATCAGGACCTCTAGTGCAGGTGTTACAAGACCATGGCTGTCAGGGTGCCACGATGGAAATCACTCAGACGTGGTGTTTGCACCGGGGCTGATGGGTTGCCTGTGAGGGGAAGGCCACACTTGGGGCTTTGTGTTCACTGTGATGATGTTAATGAGTTCAGTGAGTTTAGCGTTGAGAGATCTTAGGGACCAAACCCTGTCTTGGGTGGGTGGGAGCAGGAGTGCAGCTGAGAGGCCTGGGCTCAAATTCCACTCTCTTCTTTAGCTTACTGACCACCTGCAGGCCTCAGTCTCAGCCTCAGTGCATAGTCAGGAGACTGGTAGATTTCCTGAGTGGGCTTGAACCCTGATGGATGGGGCTGGTGCTTTTGGGTTGTCACTTTGGGCTTGGGGCTGTTGGCAAGGCCTTGGTTGGCCCCTCCACCCCCTAGAGTGCTGGAGAGGGGTCTCGGTGAAGCCAGAGTCTGGCTCCTGTGGTCCCTTGGCTGACAGCGGTCTGTCCTGGCAGGATGGGAGCCTAGGGGTCAGAACAGGCTCTACGGGTAGGGTGAGCTGCAGGCTAGCCTCAAGGATTGCTTCCTGCATGATGGGCTGGACTGACCTCCTTCCTGATCACTTCACATCTCTCTCCTACTGATTCCCCATGTGCTCTGTGTCTCTCTGGCTCCATCACCTTTCTGTGGGACTTGAAGCTGTCTTTGTCACCCACATACCCTGGTCTCTGTCATCCCCCTCCTCTCCAGATCCATGTGTGTCCTTCCCTCCAAGTGTCTAAAGGGAAGAGGGAGTATGGGGACTTGATAGAATCTGATAAAATTCTTGCAGATAAAGTAATGATGGATTGCCAGGCCACGCCTGGAGACAGTGGGCTCCCTGCCTCCACCCTGGGCACAGCAAGTGGCCTACAGCTGGAGTCCCAGGCCTGGCCTTCCTGGAGGGGCAGTTACCTGATCCCTGGCTGGCCTGAGGAGGGGCTCTAGGACTAACTGTGACAGTGATTCTGGCCTGTACCCAGCCTGTGAGGGTACACACACCTCACACCTCAGGACAGTCCTGGCCCACTTAGCAGACAAAGGTATTGAGGTTCACAGCACATCCCTGATGCTGCCTAAGGTGTCATTGTGGGTGCTGTCTTCTCAGAAGGGCCGAGGCTGAGGGCTCCTGTGGTGGGAGGTGGTCTGGGGAAGCCCCACAGACTGCACTTGGTCGGGAAGGAGCTGGCCTTGGAGAGGCCTCCTGTGGCTACTGGAGGGCAGGGAGGGTGCAGGGTTGTAGATTTGGGAAGGAAGCCTGTGTAGGGGATGGCAGGAGGAGTTGGCCAGATGTGGACGTTCACAGCCTCAGTCAGCCAGTGAGCATGTAGTGACTGCTTGGGTGCTGTGCTGCCCAGCCCACCCTGTGGCCAGTTTCAGAGAGGGCAGGGAGCCTGCAGCCTCCACCTGGCAGGGCTGGACCTGTGGCCTGGTGGCAGTGGCCCCGCCAGGGCTGATGGCAGTGCCTGTGCTCACAGTACTCCTATGAGGGCAGTGACGTCAGCGACCTGCCCGTGAACCTGTCGGTTGTGTGGAATGGCAACTTTGTCATCGACAACCCTCAGAACATCCAGGGTGAGTAGCAGGGTGGCCAAGGTGGGGAGGGCGTTGAGGTGAGTGGGCAGTGCTGACCATGCTTCTCCCTGCAGCCCACCTCTACAAGTGCCCAGCCCTGCGCCAGAGCTGCGGCCTCTGCCTCAAGGCAGACCCTCGCTTCGAGTGTGGCTGGTGTGTCGCCGAGCGCCGCTGCTCCCTGCGCCACCACTGCCCGGCTGACTCACCTGCCGCCTGGATGCACGCCCGCCATGGCAGCAGCCGTTGTGCGGACCCCAAGATCCTCAAGGTAGGCCCAGGAGCCGCACCCTGGCACCTGCCCAGACCCCGCCCTTGTTAACACCACCTGGCATGCTGAGCCTGCCCTGGGCCCCAGCCTTTGCCTCCCCGCAGCTGTCCCCAGAAACGGGCCCCCGGCAGGGGGGCACGCGGCTCACCATCACTGGAGAGAATTTGGGCCTCCGGTTCGAGGACGTGCGGCTGGGCGTGCGTGTGGGCAAGGTGCCGTGCAGCCCCGTGGAGAGCGAGTACATCAGCGCAGAGCAGTGAGTCGGCCGCCGCGGGAAGAGGGCGCGGCGCGGGGCGCGGTGGGTGTGCTCCCTGCAGCTGCTGAGGCCACCCCTGTCTGCAGGATAGTCTGTGAGATCGGGGACGCCAGCACGGTGCGGGCCCATGACGCCCTGGTGGAGGTGTGTGTGCGGGACTGCTCTCCGCACTTCCGGGCCCTGTCACCCAAACGCTTCACCTTCGTGGTAAGTCCTGCCTGACCTGCCCTCTGCTCCCTGCTGCTCTGAGAAGGTGAGTCGGGTGCTGCCGCGGCCTCAGCGCCAGGGCACCCAGCCTGCAGCTCGCCCGCTCACCCTCGTTCAGGTCCTCTGTGCCTGTTCTCTTTGTGGGCTGAGCCCGGCTCCTGGTGCCTTTGCCCTCCCTCTCCAACTCCAGGCTGTGGCCAAGCACCCTGGGGGCACAGGGTGTGGTGCCCTGCTGGTCCCTTGTCTGTAGGCACAGCTCTGAGGCCCAAGACAGACTTCCTCCTAATAAGTCCCTTTTCCGGCAGACGCCAACCTTCTACCGTGTGAGCCCCTCCCGAGGGCCTCTGTCAGGGGGCACCTGGATCGGCATCGAGGGCAGCCACCTGAACGCGGGCAGCGACGTGGCCGTGTCCATCGGCGGCCGGCCTTGCTCCTTCTCCTGGTATGGGGCGCAGAGGCCAGGGCATGACTGCCCTCTCCTGCTGGTGGTTGTGGTCAGGGCTGTCCCTTCTGGCTCTCAGTACCCCCTCCTGTTGCCTGGGCAACAGGGGTATGGAGAACTTGGCTGGGGTGATTACTATGGAAACCTAGAGGCTGAGAAGGTTACTATGGAGACGGGGGCTGCCTCTAGAATGGGAAAATGGAGGAGGATGGGGCCTGGCCTCCATGGGTGGCAGGGGTGGGTAACCTGACTGCCTCCACCCTGGTCCTTCCCTGGGAGGGGGCTTTCCCTTGGGAACAAAATAAAAAGTATTTTTTAAAATAAATTAAGAGAGAAAACAGACATCTTAACAAAAGCCTTGAGACTTGAAGTGGATAATTTTAGATTAGGGAGATAATGGAACGGTCCTTTAAATATTTTCCTGTGGTAATTACCCGTTATCAGACTAATCATTGGTGTTTGCAGCCGAGCCAGGCCTGGCAGCTCTGGGGCCTCTGGGCTGTGCTGAAGGAACCAGGGGACAGGGCCTGGGAGTAGGTAGGGCCCTGCTGCTGCCCACAAAAGTGACGCTGTGACCCACTGGTCATCATGTCTTCTCACAGCCAGAGATGCAGACATGAAGCCTTGTTCTCCAGACCAGGGACAGGTGTAGGGAAGAAGGGTGTCTGCTTTGTTTAGGTTGGTACCCAGGACTCAGGCTTGGGAAGGCAGTACTACAACAGGGTAAAGGTCAGGGCTATAGACTAGGGCTTGTCCTCCTGAGCAACAGGTGGGTCTGCCTGTCAGGCAGGGTGGGCACAGGTGGGCTTGCCGCCTGATGCTTCAGAGGGGCCAGAGGCTGGGGCCATAGAGCCTGACCAGGGTTTTCTGAAGAGAAGGCTCAGGCAAAGCCCATGTCACCCCTGTGTGGCCTTTGGTTGGAGTCCTAGGAGAGATGCAGGGATGAGTCCTACAAACCAAGCAGGGCCCGTGGGGCTAGGGACTGAAGAGGCCAGCCTGAGGCCAAGGGTAGGATCGGACACACATGACCCCTAGAGGGTCAGTAACCACCTGCAGGTAGGCCCACCCTTTACCCATGATTGCACGGCTCCCTGAGGTAGAGCCCACGTCCAGCTCATTCTGGAGGAGAGGCTCCAGTGCGTGGAAACACTCCTTATGCACCCTTGGCCCCTCCAGGAGGAACTCCCGAGAGATCCGATGCCTGACACCCCCTGGGCAGAGCCCTGGCAGTGCCCCCATTGTCATCAACATCAACCGTGCCCAGCTGGCTAACCCTGAAGTGAAGTATAATTACACCGAGGACCCTACCATCCTGAGGATTGACCCCGAATGGAGCATCAACAGGTGGGGGTGCTTGCTGGTGGCTTCCTCTCCTGCTGGGGTGGTCAGGGCAGGGGACACCCTGTCCTGAACTTTGGTTCCCTGCTGCCTCATAAACTGCTCTGAGGGGGCTGTGTCTGATCTCCCATACCTGCTGGGCCAGCGCTTTGTCTGTTGACTCCCCATTCCTTCCTCCAGCGGTGGGACCCTCCTGACAGTCACAGGCACCAATCTGGCCACCGTCCGTGAACCCCGGATCCGGGCCAAGTACGGAGGCGTTGAGAGGGAGAATGTGAGTCCACAGTCCACCCCTACCCCCTAGCTACCCAGGCTGCCCCGCCTCCTCCCACCCTTTCAGCCTCCTAGGCCTGCTGGGCTGGGAAGGAGGGAGGAGTGCCTGGCCTGTGGTGGGAGGGCCTGGCCCTGGGCTCTGGCCAGCCTGTTTCTTGGCCTGCACAGGGAGGGTATCGCAGGGACATGCTTGGCTGGCACCTGGACCACCCTAACCAGGAACAGCCATCCTCAGGGTGGGAGCTGGGCTGCCTTAAGGGCTGGCCCAGCGTCCTGGTGTATGTGTCCCAGAGCTGCATGGTGTACAATGACACCACCATGGTGTGTCGGGCGCCGTCTGTGGACAATCCCACACGCACCCCTCCGGAACTGGGGGAGCGGCCCGACGAGTTGGGCTTCATCATGGACAATGTGCGTGCCCTGCTGGTGCTCAACACCTCCTCCTTCCTCTACTACCCCGACCCGGTGCTGGAGCCACTCAGCCCTACTGGCCTCCTGGAGCTGAAGCCTAGCTCCCCGCTCATCCTCAAGGTTGGTCTCTGCAACCTGCAGGGCCCAGCCAGGGGCTGGGGCAGGGTAGGGTGGTGGGACTGGGAAAAGATGCCCGGTCCTGCTCTCTGCTCACCTTCCCACCACCCACCCCTGTGCAGGGCCGGAACCTCTTGCCACCGGCACCTGGCAACTCCCGGCTCAACTACACAGTACTCATTGGTTCCACGCCGTGCACCCTCACCGTGTCAGAGACGCAGCTGCTATGCGAGTCACCCAACCTCACTGGGCAGCACAAGGTCACGGTGCGTGCCTGGCCCCCCCACATGCCCAGCCCGCCCTCCTATCTGGGGAGAGAGCCCAGGAGATTGCTCTACAGTTCAGCCCTGTTTTGCTGGCCCACCTTCCTCTAACCCACCAACCCTGTCCGCCAGGGCAGCCCCCACCCTGAGCTCAGCTCCTGTAAGCCCTGCCCCACCCTTGAGCTAGCTGTCTGCACCTACTTCACTTACCACTCACCGCCCACCTGCCCTGAGTCCTGGCTGCCCTGGCTGGCCTGAGTGCCTACCCTGGGTCCCAGCATCCCCACCCACATTAGTGCCCTGTTGGTGGGACAGTGCCCACAAAGCAGGTGCTACCAGGGCTCAAGTGCTATTGGGCAGGGGCCTGCTTCTCTGAGGGGTGTCTGTGGCTCCTGAAAAGCCTCTACCAGCAGTCTCTATCCTACTTGCCAGGTGCGTGCGGGCGGCTTTGAGTTCTCACCGGGGATGCTGCAGGTGTACTCAGACAGCCTGCTGACGCTGCCGGCCATTGTGGGCATCGGTGGGGGCGGAGGCCTCCTCCTGCTGGTCATTGTGGCTGTGCTCATTGCCTACAAGCGCAAGTCCCGTGACGCTGACCGCACCCTCAAGCGGCTGCAGCTCCAGATGGACAACCTGGAGTCCCGTGTGGCCCTTGAGTGCAAGGAAGGTGTGCTGGGGCGGGGGCTGGGCTGGGGCTTGGGGCCAGTGGGCTGCTGCCATCTCTGAGCCAGGCCCTGTCCTACCACTCCATTCTGGCTCAGCATAGTGTTCTCACGATGCAGGGGTTACTGTCTCAGGGAGGTGGCAGGTGCCTGTCTGGGCCTGCACAGGGTGGGCGTCCGGGAGAAGGGGCCACCTCATGTTTGCGTCCCAGCTCTGCTGTAAGATTAAGGTGTGCCATCTAAGCTTGCCCTCGGCCTCCTCATCTGTAGTGTTGCAGGGACAGCCAGTGCAGGGTGCACATGATGGGGGTGTGGATGTTCCCGTGGAGACCCTTGCCTTTGGAATCTGTTGTCAGTCCCTGGATGCACACAGGTCTTGGCCTGGATTGACCTGAGTCACACTTACTGTCCTCCTGAGGACACCCAGACCTGGGTGGGAGTGGCAGACATCAGCACAGGACTACCGCTCAGGGCAAGTCCTAAGCCACAGTGCATGAGCTCAGCTACCCCAGTGGCTGATTCACTGAGCCCTGATGGCCACACCGGGTCCTTGGGCCCAAGCACCTGCAGCCCCCAGCCTCGAGTGGAGGGACCCCAGTGGCAGGTAGGTGTGCCCCAGAGAGTGGGATGGACTCCAGGCAGGCAGAGACCACAGGTGTGCCAGCTGAAGGATGAGCAGTGGCTGGAGGAGAGACAGCAGGAAGGATCAGGACCGGGCCCGAGACAAGAGCACAGGGCTCCCATGTGGGTGCAGCAGGACCCCAGGGACCACCCATCTGTTCTATACATCAGAGAGGCCCATGTGCCTCTCATAGGAAGGCTAGCAGAGCCTAGCTTCTAGATCCCATCTAGAGTGCTGAGTGCTGTGGGGTGTTTTGAACCCCCTAACCTATTCACTGAATGTTACAGGGTCTTCCAGATCCAGCCTGTGCTCTGAGTGCCGTGGGGTACAGGTGGCTGAGGTGGGCAGGAGGTGTAGTGTGTGAGAGGGCGGTAGGCACTGAAGCCGATCCCATGGGAGACTGGTGGCCTGGGACAAAGGCCCAGGCACTGTGGCAACTACCCATGCAGTGGGACCACTGCTGGATTTGTATGCCAGGCTCAAAGCAGGGGACACTGGTTGGCTGAACTGGGGCCCCCTGGCCAGCCTGGGGTGCCAGTCTAGCCTGCTGTAGCCCCCCCACTTCCTCATGGCCCTTGCTGTGCTGTGTGCCTCCCAGAGAAGTCCTTGTCGTTGGGAGAATGTGGGCATCCAGGGAATACTCACAGGGAATGTGGGCATGGCTGTGGGTGTTTTGCAGATGTTATCAAATGAGCACTTGAATCTGGAGACAGATGCTGGGGTGCTTCTGTGGTTGGCTGGGGTTTGAAGCCAGGGTCTTGGGCAGGATTGTTAGGAACTCCAGAGGACCTCCTGTGGCCTGGCTGCGCGGAACTTGGCTAATCTCAAAAATGAAGGAAAGTCCCCCTCAGCCCTGGACAGACCCAGAGGCCCTGTAGTTGGCTGGGACCAGGCACAGCTGCCTGGCAGCCTGGGTAGGACAGGAGGGAGATGTATGCTTGGGGATGGGGTAGCAGGAGGCCTGGGCCTCCCCGGGCTTTCACAGGTGGAGGATGAGTGTCCACAGGGGCCAGTGTACATTATGCCTTTATCTGGCAGCATGGGGCCAGCCAGGGAGGCAGCTCCATGCCCGCAATAGAGCCTAGGAGATGAGGACCCAGGCTTAATTAACCTGCCAGGTGGCCCCCAGAGCCTGCCTGATCAGATAGCTCCTCCCCCAGGCAACTGCGGGGCCAGCCTCACAGCTCCGGAATGTTCCTCAGAACCTGCCACTCTGCCTGCCTTTGTTCCTGAGAGGCAGAGGGGGCTGGGAGTGGGCTGGGGTGTCAGGGAGCCCCATGGGCCACGACATACACATGGCACATGTCAGCATGGAGATGGGAACCTGGGGGTCACCTGAGGCCCTTCACCAGGTACTCTGCTGCCATCATCTCTTCCATGCATGGAAGGGACCAGCCCCCTAGCCTGGTCTGGTTCTGGCGCCACCTCTGCTCTTGTTCTGGTTAATCCCACAAACAGGCCAATGACAGGATTGTGTCCTCATTTGGACACAGAGAGATGAGACCACTGCAGGCAGAACTAGGATTTGATCTAGTTCTAGTTCTAGATCTAGTGCGGTGATGATGGGATGTGGGGGACAGAGGCTGTTACCACAGAGGGGCCACTGGGATCTTGGTGTCCTAATCCTGACATCCCCCTCCCTCCGGGCTACAGCCTTTGCAGAGCTGCAGACGGACATCCATGAACTAACCAGTGACCTGGACGGTGCCGGCATTCCGTTCCTGGACTACCGCACATACGCCATGCGGGTGCTCTTTCCTGGGATCGAGGACCACCCTGTGCTAAAGGAGATGGAGGTAGGACCACTAGTCTCTACCATCAGAGCCCTGGGTGCTGGTGGTGGCCAGAGGGCCTGAGGCACAGTCAGTCTGCAGGAGACCTTCGGGTCTGCAGGGCAGGGCTGCAGAGTGGGGAGGGAGCTGGGAGCAGACCCAAAAGTGGCCAGAATGGGGTGGGGGCACCCTGAGCCCTGTGGGTGGAGCAGAGGCTGCCTGGCCTGGCTCTTCTCCCCATGGTGCCTCAGGAAGGTGGGAAGGAAAGGCCCACTTGTACAGGGTGCTAAGCTGCACCCCAGCACCCCGCCCTTTAGCCTGGGTTCCTGGTGCTTCACCAGTGGCTGTGCTGCATGGGGCCTGCTTCTTGGTTGGGCCCACTGCTGCTCTCCTGGCTAGGTCTTTTGGAAGTTCTAGTGCTGGGCTTGCTGAGCATCCTGTGTCGCATGTGGAAGGCATGGTGCAACTGGAATTTCACGGCTTTGCATCGGCCGTCAGCGGTACCAGGTTGCTGGCAGTGAGCTACTGCCAAGGGGCCAAGTACTCAGGACTGCCTCAGGCCGTGAGTCCAGGTCCCAGCCAGCAACAGCCAGGGTTCAGCAGGGCAGCCCTGTTCTCTGTAGCCCAGGGTGCCCCACCTCTGCACAGCCTGGATACTGGGGAGACTGCTCCCCTGTCCTGGCTTAGGTGGAAGGAAGTTTCTTTGAGGTAAGCCAGAGTGGCCTTGCTATCACCCTGGCCTAGGCCCTGGGCTGCCTTCAGCTGGTGTCACCACCTTCTTCCCTGGACTGCTGCATGGTGAGGTGCACATCCTCCCTCTGTCAGATCCCCTGTGTCTCCATTTGCTGTGACTGCCACTCTAGCTGTGGCTACTCTACCTGGTCTCTCTCACTTGTTTGCCTGGGCTCGGAGCCAGGTGTCACTGGTGGCCTCTGGGCACAGCCTGGTAGGAAACCTCCTGTCCTGACAAGCCTTGGTATAGATAAGAGAGAGATCAGGGGCTCTAGAGCCAGTCGTGCCTGCACTTCCCACCTTCATGTTGTGTGGATCTGATCCGTGAAGTGGGGAGAGCGGTTTTGTGTTGGTTATTGTGAAGGCAGAGAGGCTGGGTGCATGCTTCTGGTACTAGATAGATGGGGACAGTGACAGGCTCCCTCAGAGCTGCTGGAGACCAGGTGAGGGAAGTCCTGGCCACAGAGAGATATGAAAGGAACAGGTCCTCTCACCTGCATGCTGGTAGTGCTGCGAGTCTGCCTGTGGTGGCAGTTGTCTTGTCCCAATGGCAGTGGGCAGTGGTAGTGGCTTCCAGGACTCATCCATTCTGCTGAGATGGGCTGTGAGGCTTGGGAACTAACCACAGTGGCTTTATGGAGTCAGTGTGACCTGCCATCCCCACCTAGGCCTGCTGTGTCCCTGCCCTGGCCACGTACGCCAGGCCGAGACGGTGCAGTAGAAGACCTTCCCTCCAGCCTTAGCTATCAGGATGGCGTGCCCTCGTGCTCTGAGCACCTGTGCACCCTGCTCCCCCATCCCAGGTGCAGGCCAATGTAGAAAAGTCACTGACGCTGTTCGGGCAGCTGCTGACTAAGAAGCACTTCCTGTTGAGCTTCATCCGCACGCTGGAGGCCCAGCGCAGCTTCTCCATGCGTGACCGTGGGAATGTAGCCTCACTCATCATGACAGCCCTGCAAGGCGAGATGGAATACGCCACTGGAGTGCTCAAGCAGCTGCTCTCCGACCTCATCGAGAAGAACCTGGAGAGCAAGAACCACCCCAAGCTTCTGCTGCGGCGGTGAGCCTGCAGGGCGACAGCGCTGGGTGGGCGGCCCGGAAGTGCCACTCTGCAGTTCCTTCCACCTGAGTAGGGTGGGGAGTGACTGGGCCGCAAGCCTCAGCTTCCTCATCACCAGCTCTTGTCCGTGGGTAGCATCTGGGCCCACAGGTGAAGACCTGGGGTGTCCATGACAACTCCCACAGAAGCCTGATCCCTACCATGTGGCACCTTTTAAGGCCTGACCTATGTGGGGGATGGGCCAGGGCCAGGGCCAGGGCTGGAGGTGGGGCTGTGCCTGTTGGGTGGCGGAATGATGCCATCCTGCCCATGTCTGCTGTGCCGCAACCCACAGGACTGAATCGGTGGCGGAGAAGATGCTGACCAACTGGTTCACCTTCCTGTTATACAAGTTCCTAAAGGTAGGCAGCTACTGAAGGAGCAGAGGACAGTGAAAGGTTGGAAGGGAATGTGGAGGAGGCAGGAGATAGGGATTGCGGGAGGTGCTGGAGAACTGGACAGCAGTGGGGTCTCAGGCGTGAGCATCCCAGGACATGCATGGTAGGTACCTGCCCAGCCTGCAGAGTAGGAGTGGGGAGTCCTATCCAGAGTGGACACTTGGTCAGGAGTCTGGCCTCAGTCTCTGTGTTGTGCGGGGTACTTGGAGTTGACTGCCAAGTTCAGGGGAGCACAGCACCTGGACAGAGCCTCTGAGGGTCCCCTGTGCCGCCCATGGTGGGAGGGTTCCCTGCTGGGCTTCCTCTGTGGTTCTCCAGAGCAGCAGCTCCCCTGAGCCCCAGGCAGTGACACTGGCCATCCTCAGAGC